GTGACTGGCTGATCTTTTTTTAGAGTTTCAGCAGCAGCTGCTCCAGATAAAGAGTTCAGACATTCAGACGTTCTGACCGATGCTTCCAGAGGAAAACACCAAACCCAAAGCTAAAAACTAAAATATCTGCTTTTCCTTTTGTCGTCACGCCGGTCTGAGATCCCCGATTCAATTAATCCAAAAGACCAATTAATGTTTCCAGGCTGGATTTGGGTTCAAATATACAGTGGGGGAAATAAGTATTTGAGCCCTTGCTGATTTTGCAGGTTTGCCCACTTACAAAGAATGCAACGATCTATAACTTTAATCATATGTACATTCTAACAGTGAAAGACAGAATCCCAAAGAAAATTCCAGAAAATCACATCATATGAATTTATAAAAATGGATAACCATCTGATGAGGAAAAATAAGCATTCTTTGTAAGTGGGCAAACCTGCAAAATCAGCAAGGGCTCAAATACTTATTTCCCCCACTGTATGATCTAAAACTAAATCAAATGAAACGGTCACTCACTCGTCTCCACTCGTAGAAGTAGGCGATGTCCATTAGTGTGTAATAGTCCTTTAGGGGCTCGTCTCCATACAACACCTCCACCTGCAACACACAAAAAAACCGCTCTGAACACGGAGCATCATCATATTTTATCCTGAAGACGCCTGAACGCCTCACAGGAAAAAGCCGTTTTACCTCACTAACCCTAAGTAGTAGGAAGCAGCAGGAAGGAATGGGAAGAAGTAGGAAGAAGCAGGAAGAAGTAGGAAGAAGCAGGAAGATGCAGCAATCAGTGGTAACAAGGATGACGCAGTAGGAAGTAACGGGAAGAAACAGGAAGCAGCAGGAAGCAGGAGGAAGAAACAGGAAGCAGGAGGAAGAAGTTGGAAGCAGCAGAAAGCAGCAGGAAACAACGGGAAGCAGAAAGAAACAGGAAGAAACAGCGGAAAGCAACAGGAAGCAGCTAAATATACAGAAAATATTTCATGATTTCATTCAGCTCATTGAGTGGTGGGAGGGGAGGAAGTAGCAAGAAGAAAAAACGGGAAGCTGGAGGAAACAGTAGGAAACAGCAGGAAGCAGCTTCCAGCTTCCCTGTTCCAGGGACATAAGACGTTGGACACGTCTAATGGAGCTACAGAGCCCCGAGAAGAGGAGACTCAGACCCCCCAAAGACCCCAAAGACCAGCTCAGATCCCACCCTCAGCAGGAAACAGACAAACTCCAGACCATCAGCCTCCCCAGCTCTGAACCACCAAACCGCCCCTGACCTCTGACCTCTGACCCCTGACCCCGGCGGGAGCCCGTAGTTACCCTGTAGTTGTTGGGGATGTCCATCTTGCTCCGGAGGAA